TTATTAGAACTATTGTAAAAAAATAAAAGTCAATGACATTTAAATAAAAGCCATCTTACATATTATTAAACTTCCAAAATACACAAGAAATGTTTCTACCATTTAATGACTGCAAAAAATAGAATTTAGCAGTAACACTAATAATAAAGAATTAATCTAATATACCTGTTGTACATCTGACAGATTGAATGTTATTGTCACTGATTCATTAAAATCATTAGTATTGCAGGTATCATTACATCTGACAGTTGAAGGTATGACTGGTGATATAAGCTCATCATCATTTGTAGGAGAAAGGACTGATAGGTCTTCATATACAAAGGATGCTACTGTAGCTGGAACAGCATTTAATATTGCATTTGGTAGTGTTAGAGTGTTGCCATTATAATCAATTGCTGTGGCCTCTTCATCAGGGAAATCTTCAATCTGTTTAACGTTTAGAACTACAAGCAATGAACAGTATTAGATACACTAACATTGAGGTATAGTTCTTACAAATACTGTCAGTAGAAAGGGACAAATCCTGTCCTACATTAAGTGCAAAATTGTCCAATGTCATTAATAGCTGGCTAAAAATAGAGATACCATCCTATGCATGATATTCATACAATTGATTTTATTTGAATAATTAATTATACCATCTTATTTGAAGCCATCTGTATTATTTCACTAGCAATATCAAGCACTATCTAAAAATAGGAATTTTAATAGTAACTATTTTGTAAAGTGTACACTTTGTGCTAAAGGCAATGATGCATATGCAAGGTACACCGTACATGTACCTGTGTTGTCTCATTATCTGATTCCATATTGCTGTTTTTGATGATGAAGTCCAGTAATACAATGCTTTGAGCTGCTGGAAAGTCATTGAGTTGTTGTGATAGTGATTTAAGAGCAACATAATGCGATATATTAATCTACATGTATGAAGGTATGCCAATAATGAAGGCAGTGTTTGATAACAATTATATCAAATTACTTTTGACATTATTTCTATGAATTGCTTACTGACACTGCAGTTAATTCGACCCCAACTTCCATTAAGATCACAATATCTTGTGGCTAAATAGAAAATAATTGGTTGATTTAATACAAGTGACACTAACCATTAAATGTTCCTTTATAACAAGTACCATTTGCCCATTGTCCTGGTTTAGTGCTTTCCCATTGATTAGTTTCTGGGCAGTTCATTAAAGAAAGAGAGAGAGAGGGAGAGGGAGAATTAATATGGGAGAAAGATGTTGCTGCAACAATTGAAGTTACTGCAGGCATTGTTGTTCTAGATAGAGGAGTAAGTCCACTGTTTGAGGAGTGAGGTCTAGATGATAGGATATGCATTGATGACGTAGAGTTGAGTTGAGAAGCAGATGACAGTACTGAAGTAGACTTTGATGATGTAGCTTGTATACTGAAAGAGTTGAGTTGAGAAGCAGATGACAGCATTGAAGTAGGAAGAGAGAAATCTGATGAATCAGATATTGATACTGATGAATTGACAATGGAAGGTAATGATGGTGAAAGAGGGAGAGATTTTGATGATGATAATGAGGAAATAATTTCACTAGGTTCAGGCAGTTGTGATGATGCTGCTAGTGGCAAAGAAGTAAGAATGAGAGGGGTAAGTTCTGCTGAAGAATTTGAAGTAGGAGAAGATGAAGTTGGCTCACTGATAATACATATTGTTTGATTACTTGACAAGCGGCAAGTTTTCACAACATAGCTTAAGCAATGGCCGCTAGTTGAATAAAACCTACCCAGCTGATTTAGAACTATCCTTGTTGATCTTTGTAGATTACTACAAAAATTTAATTGTACAATATAATTCAAAACCTGAACCATCCCATGGGTTATAGTTACAGGACATGCACTGTCATACTCCTTCCACAGAAATCGTAGCATAGTGATATAATCATTTGTCTCGAAAGTAACACAATTTTTACCCACTTCTGATCCTGTGTAATTTTAGTGAGTGTTCAATATTTCAGAGCAGATTATTGACTTACTATTGAAGGTAAAGCATTGTGAAAAATACGACCAGCCACCACTGTGGTATATTCCACGTAAGGAAAGGACATCAGCATCACTAGAACATTCACTACTTACAGTGAAATTAAATGTTAGATCAAAGCGAACTCCATCAGATCGGTAAGTGAGACAAGAAAATAGCAACAGCAGCAGAGTCTCGAGCAAAGTCGACATCATTGTTAGAACATACAACTGTTAGAAGAGTCTAGTATGCTGAAAATCCTAATTTGTTGCCTCCTCTTATGGATACAGGAAGCCCGATGAGCTCTCAGTTGAATAGGATCTGGGTTTGGGATAATCACGTGGGTGATGGGTCAAAATCAAAACATGGCGGTGAATTTATAACCAAAACGAACCACAGTCCAGGGATGATACATACAGTCCTCGTTGTTCTAGTACTGGTATCATTGGGTAGCCCTCAGTCTAATGTATCTCCAATAGACTTCAACACACCTCAATCCTGTAGCCATGATACTCAGTACTTCTACCCTGGAAACCTCTCCTGTATCTCTTGCCCACCCAACTCTGTCACTTCAAGCAATGGTGAGTGTTCATTCCTTCACTGTCCCCTATACTTATAATAATGATAGGATTATCCTGTAACTGTGTGACTGGATACAGACAAACCTCTAACATTGGACCAGTCACTTGTGAGGCCTGCCCTAATCTCAGCTCAGTAAGAAAATTTGTATGTATGTATATATACATTATAATAATAATTATACTGTACCAAAATAGTAGTAGTGTTAAGATTGGGGTTGTTAAGGTAGGTTTACAATAATTATCTGTATCTTCAGCATTTACGTCAGTTCTTAAGACCAGCCCCAGGTTGATGTTACATTGCGTTTTGCAACTGATGCAATGGGTGGAGTTACGTCAAGAGTAGATAATAGTTACTACTCTTGGTTACGTGTATTGTAAATGTAGCAGTAATGAGGATTGACGTGTACCTATAACTAGGTTAGATCTGATGATGGTTTGTATTGCCTCACTTGTCTGTCTCCATTGATATACACTGGAGGGACTTGCACTGGCTGTGAGGATCAGACTTCTATATTTGGTAAGTGAAAGAGGGGGAGAGGGAGAGTGAAAGGAGGTTTTGCTACTGTGAAATAAGCATTGATAACACCTACATGTACATAATGTACTTTGTACCTGTACATTATGTTCACAGTTTTGTTTGCTCCTTTTATTTTGCTAAGGAGAGCTCCATCCAATTACAAAAAAAAAACAAACATTTCATATTGAATTCAATGTTTTGATGGTTTATTTTTTAAATCTTTACCTATTATAGTTGACACTATTCCCATCAACCGTTCATCAACTGGAGACAGAAGGTGCCAAACATGTCCAGTTAGCACGATTGCTGACTCTAGCAAGAAGCTCTGTATTCCTTGTGGTATCAGTAATTGCTCCAACTGCCTCTCATTCACTAATGGAGTCTGCTTCACTCAACCACTCACTCCTCCTACTTCTACTCCCTTTCCATTTTATTCTAATTTCAGTTCTTCCCTTGCTCTATGTAACGTACGTATTGAGTGTCTGGTTTCATTCTAATTTAT